AATTCTCTACATATCATGAGAGGAGGTACCTGTTCTTAAACTGTCTAGAATATGCCATGAAAAATTTTCTTGAAGGGAAGATAATTCTTCAATTCTGCCTTTTATCTTGTCTCTGCACTGGCTTTGCATGGCCTCAGTGATGTTGCACTAAACAGTGGTAAGCCTGGCTTCCCTTAAGCTTACCTCTGTGAGCATTAGGGGGTTTGAGTTGTAGGGGCTGAAGTCCTGCAGCGATTGCACTGGGGAGGAACACATTTGCTGGGTGACTGAACCCTTTGGGCATACTCCATTGCTTGTTTTGATGCTGAATATTCCTGTTTTACAGCTAATTTTTGCAAGAATACTTGGGTATAGAGAAATTTTGTTGCTGCAGAGTAGCCTAGATCTATCCAACAGAGGAAATAAGCAGCTGAAGGGTAAAAAACTCATCAGAGAGCAGAGAGGTGATGGGACGATGATGTATCAATGTAGGATAAATGATCCTTTTCAGCTAGATGCCTTTCTTGGCTCTACCTCTGTGTCACACAGGGCTTGTCTCCCTCTGTAAGAGGAGCCACTTGTGCTGGCTGTCAGTGGGGAAGAGCTCCCGCACCAGTCGGCAGCCACCATGCCCCCTGCCCCAGTTCAGAGGGGACCCTTGGTGGGGCTGGCAGGGCTGCCTGCAGCCAGGCCAGGGCAGCTGCTGCTGGGCGGTGGCACTCTTCCATCACAGTCTGAGCATGAAAGACATTGTTTTTAATCTTCTTCCCAGCCCCTTTGCTTTCATACAGCCAGTTAGGAAAGGGTGGAGAAAATGCTCTTGGACACTGGCTGATATATCACTTACTGCACAATTTTTTCAGTACAACAGGAGCCAAAGTTCAGCAGCCTTGAAAATGCCTCTGAAATCTTTTTGTCAAAGCTTTAACCGAGGTCACGAATTTTAAGAAAAAGGCATGGAAGGCAAGCACCACAGTTTACAGTTTGGGATTCCTCCTTCATAATTTTTGTACTTGAAAGGTAACTGTAGCTGTTATCCTCATGTAAAGGTTTGAAAAAAGGAGTAAATTTTCATATATTCATCTGGACTCTCAGATGAGTATTCTCTATTCTGCTCTTACATGGTTCAAGACAGTTCCAAAAAATATCTAATTTACTTTTTCTCCCTAAGCAGCTGCAGGATTTGTGTGTGTGAGCAAAATGAGGGTAATAAAAAGCTGCAGCAGGGTTGCAGACGTAGTGATTTTTCTCTTAGCTATGTGCATAAGCAAAGGTTCTGTAATGTACATTTAGTAGCTGTCTCTTTTCGTGTGGATACCACATCAGTCAGTGAAACCCTTGACCTGGACCGAATGGCTGGTTGCTATGGCAACGGGTTGCATAGTAACAGTTTTTGTTCCTAGGTTGAATCATCTTGCCTGTCTTAAATGTGACTTTTGAGGAGGTCAGAAATTGTTCATCAGATGAAACTAGGAAAGTTTTTTCAAAGGAGAAGCAAAAATGTTGATGTTGTGCAACCTGAGCACCTGCTGAGAGATGTTCTTTGTTCATGGCAGTGCAAGAAGGTGGTCAGCTCCCCTGCCTTCTCCACTTCACTCACCAGAAAAAAAAAAAAAAAAAAAAAAAAAAACTGTAGGAGCTTCAGGGAAATTTGTCTGCTGTGCGACTCCCACTCCCAATCCTGCTAAAGGCAGTAGGGAAATATTATCAGCTTACTCCAGTAACCTTGAAAATTTCTGAATTTAAAGTCAGCACCTCTTCAGCTGCTCTCCAGCAGGACTGCTTCTAAAAACCTCTGCTGACCTGGTCCTGATTTGCACTGGAGGCCTTTATGAGTCTACATTTTAAGGAATAGCAACCATACTCTTCAGAAAAGCAGGTTTTTTGGCTTTTTGATGGCTCTGCTTGACAAGGTCCTGTGGGAGACTGCCACGGGGGGAGCAGAGGGACTCAGATTGATCTACAGGGCTGACCTCCCCAGAGCACAGGCAGGGCCCACTCCTGTGTTCTTCAGGCAGAGCCAAGCGTGGCAGAAAGCTAGTGTGGATTGTCAGGGACCTCCTTACTGAGCTTACCCTCAAAAATAAAGTGTACAAGCTGTGAAGGACTATCCAGGAGGGGCATAGAGGCAGTGGCTGAGCTTGCAGGGACAGAACTGAGAAAAGCAAAGATCAGGTGGTGCTGAAATGAGCTATGGGAATGGTTTCTCTGGGTACATTGGCAACACAAAAAAGGCTGATAAAATGTGAGCCTGCTGCTCATTGAGGCCAGGTTGAAGGAAATTAAAGTTACTTGATGCCTTTTTTTTGCCTTGGCTTTCACTAGTAAGGTCTGTCCTCAGGCCTGCTGGGCTTCAGAGTCCAGTAATAGAGTCTGTGGGAATGTAGTATTACCCACAGTAGAGGAAGACAGTGATGTAGTTCTTGAGCTGATTGTATGTACAGCAGCTCCTGGCACCACACAAGGTACTTCCAAGGATGCTGAAGGACTTGGTTGGTGTCATTGAGAAGCCACGTGGTGATCAGGGGAGGTTCCTGGTGACTGAAAAAGGGAAAATATTGTACTCTTCTTCAGTACTGTTAAGTGCCTTTATTAACCACCTGGATGATAGGGTGGAGTGCAGCTTTGGCAAGTCTGTGGATTAAATCAAACTGGGGGGAGTGGTCAGTACACCAGAGGGGCCTGGGCAGGCTGGAGAAGCGGCAGACAAGGAGCATCATGAAGTTCAGCAAAGGCAAACATAGGGTTCTTTATCCAGGGTGGAATAGCCCTGTCCACCAGTACAGGTTGGGGACCGCATGACTGGAAAGTCAGAAAGTGCCCTGCAGATGCTGGTGGACAAGTTGAACGTCAGGCCACAATGTGCTCTTCCAGCAAAGGCGGCCAGCTGTGTCCTGGACTGCATTAGCAAGGGTGTAGCCAACAGGACCTGGCTACACCTGCAGTTCTGTGTCTAGTTTTGTGTACCCTGGTATGAGAAATAAGTTAAATACAGGAGCAAGTCTGGTGGAGAGCCACCAAGATGATCAGGAGAGCTGGAGCAGATGATGAATGAGGAGAGGCTTAGGGAACTGGGTTTGTCCACCCACCAGAAAAGAAGAGTAAAGGGGTGTGTTATTGCTGCCTACAGCTTTCTGATGGGAGGATGCAGAAGAGCTGGAGCCTCCCTCTTCTGGGAGATGTGAAGTGGAGGGCTAAAGAGAACACAGGAAACTCTGAGTAGATACTAAGAAGTTGTTCTTGCTGTGAGGGTGGTCAAATGCTGCAGGGGCCCTGGGAGGTTGCTGGATTCCCATTGTGGGGACAGTCAAAACTCGGCATGTCCCTGATGCGACTGAGTGGGGGTTTGGGTCGGGTGACCTCCAGGGGCTCCTTCCAGCTGAGATCATTCTGCAAGTCTCAGTCTCTCTTCTCCTTGGCCATAGAGAAAAGTGAGTGTAACGGAGAGCCCAGACCAGGACTTTGCTTGTCAGTAGAAATGAAAATGTGTTGTGTGATTGTTACCCCCCCTTTCTCCTTCTCTCTGTCAGCCCTATACATCTCTCTTCCTGGTGAGCAGTGCCATCACGTTATATTTGGTGATGACATGTCACTGCAATCCCCCAAGAGAACTCTTCCAACATCACTTATTTCTTCTTTTTCATTAAATACACCACTGTGTGCTTTACCCTTCTACTCTTCTGGCATGGATAAAGTAAGCAGAGTTCAGCACTGACAGGAATATATATGTACTCAGGAGCTTATAGAAAAACAAAATCCAGACATGACATGTGATTGGAGAGTGGCTTTCTTTTGTTTATTTTTTTCTTTGTGTTACTTGATATAATTTCTTAGCAGCTGTCAACCTCTAGCACTGTCAGAACAGTCACTTACAGCTGTGCTGCTGCACTGTGATCCTGTCAGACAAGAGACACAAGGAGGAGTGAAGTGGGGTTGTCCGTTTGTCCATTTAAGTCTCAGAAAGATTTGAAGGGCTGGAGCCAGGTAGTGGAGGCGTTTGGAAGAGTTCGCTGCCGTGAAGGAATTGGCAGTGACAGGAAGGAGAACACTGAAACAGAAGAAACAGAGTCTGAAGGGACGCTGTTGTAGTATGGAAGGAACAAAAAATGCAGATAGGCTGACTTGGCTTGGGTTTAGTCCGTTTTTCCTGTAAATCTTAAAAATTATTTTACAAAATGTTGCTAGTCCTCAGGGTGGTGGAACAGTGCAGGTTCATAAGGTTACACCAGTTGTCCAGTGCTTCCGCAAACCAATGGGAAATCATAAAACCAACAGAATTTATTACCAGTGGCCCAGCAGCCCAGCCTGGCTTATCCTCCATGTGATGCACCTGTGGCCGGAATGTGCTTTTGGAAGATGTAAATCTTGAGGAAATGCCTGCTTGTCATTAAAGAGATGGCAAAGCTTTCTTCATGCATATAAATGTCAAGCAAGCATCTTGACCAAATTATCAGATGGTTGGTTGCATCTTGACATTGTAGAACATGCCAGCGGTTACACGGGGGAAGAAAAGATGCTCTTTGCTTCCTGTCCCAAAGTATTCTGGCTATGCTGCCGTGCACTGTGAATGTCCGTGTGGCAGCCCAGGGCAGGCTGTGCTGCAGGCGCTCAGGAAGTTAGCAGGGTTTATATAAAGCTCTGCTGGGTTTGCAGAACCTTTTGGCTCTTTTCCAGCATGGAAGCAGTGATATAAATAGAAGAATGTCTTGCTTTTGAAGTCTGCCTTCTATTCGCGGAAAGGAAGAACTTTTTGCTGGAGCTGTGATATCATAGCTGTTAAATACAAGTCTCAAGATCAGTCCTATGACAGGCTGAACCGCTTGACCACTTTTCAATGGGATGCGAGTGAGCTCAGTAGCTTACATCTTAACATCTCTGCTAGCTGGTTGCTGACATCTGAATAAGGTTTGGCTGTATGAAAGCAGAGCTCAAGAGTAATCCATCCTCCCATCTTCCCTCCCAGCTGCTCCCCTCCCCACTAAATGAAAAAAAAAAATGTTGCTATTTTTTCCTTTGGTCAGATTAACAAAATGTTTGGGACAGTAGTGGTTGGAGTTGGAATTGCTGGCTTAGCACGAATCCGAGACTTGATGAATCCGATGCCTTCCAGCCCTTCTGAGCACCTGAAACTCTTTGGATTTGTATCCAGGTTAGAAATTTCATTTTAGCATGTTTAATATGTATATTTTAATGTTTCTTTATTCTGGTGCACATGCCTTTCCTTGTGGAGGACTATTATTTCAGGGGGCAGAGGATGAATATCCAAAGTTTTATATTTCTCTTATAATTAAAGCTGTCTGAAAAGGGAAAATTTATGCAAATATGCCTGTCATTCTGAGTGGCAGCTAGGAAATGAGCACAGAAAGCTTTGCGAGAGGGAACAAATAGGATACCTTAGTGAGATGTCTTGCAAAAATGACTAAAATAAAAACGGAGTGACGTTCTCGCTGTAGGATCTGTGTGATAAAAAGAAGTGCAATTCTGTCTAACTGTCTAATTTCCTCTAGGTTTGGGATGGTACAGAAAATAATTACACTAATGAGCTAATGTATGCATGGCATTGTAGAAATGTTTAAAAAACAGAAGAAGCTTTACAGAGTTTTAATTTTTTTTTTTAACAAAAACGAGTTGTAAAGCTCCTAATACTGCAACTTAATCATAAAATTCTATTATTTTTTCCTTTAAGAAAACCAGGTACTGAACCTGTAGATGTCTTTAAAGAAAATCCCACAATTTAGTATATATAGTTCGGTTGCTTCTTAGAAAGCAAGAGTTTTCCTCACTAGCTTGGAGCTGTGGAAATTTAGTATATACCTCCTTCTAAGCATTCCTGCTGGACTGTCTGCCCCATAACAGCGGAGCATAAAGGTTTTAAATAGTTAGGCAGTATATGTATGGATCACAGACTGCAAATTTATTTTTCCAGCTATATTTAAATCATGCAGTCAGGGTTGTCTGAGACTGAAAAGACCCATTAGGTCATCCAGTATATCTCCCTGCCAAATACACTCTCGGTTCCCTGATGCCTTTGCTAGTGCTACCAGCTAGCCTTGAACATCACTGAAGATAGGGTTTCTACTACTTCTGTTGAGAAACAGTGCTGTCGAAATGCATGGCTTGTATGTTGCCTTGTTCTTTGCATTCCAGTCACGCACAAACATTACCTGTCTTTGCTTTCAAGTCCTGCTTGTGGCCTACCCTCATGCCCTCTATCCTATCACCTATCCTAACCCTGTCAAGGGGTCTGCTGCAGTCTTTACTAATGCAAAGGGCTTTTGCAGGGGGGGTGTGTGTGTTTCATTTTCAGGTGGAGATGTGCTCAAGGTGGTGGCCAAGAGAGCCTTCCCCTTAGCACTAACATGGTGTGTGTGTCATAAGGTGTGAGTTATCCTAGCCAAGCATCTGCTTTGTCCCTCTTCTGTTTGTCCGTACTTCTTGTAGCTGCATGTGGCCCTGCCAACTCAAGTCCTGTTGCCCATGTTGTCCAGCACGGTGGGGAGAAGTTGTCCCATAGGAACACTGTACTCCTTCGAGTCACTCTTAAAATGGCTCTTTCGTAATGATGCTTATTAAAAACTAAAACATCCAAACCCAAAAAACAGAATCAAAAAGCACTTTACACTTCAATAATAGCAGGACAGTTTCAGTACTGACACCACCACCTACACACTGCCCATCTGTTTTGTTCTTCTGTGCACTCCACTTCTGTCTGTAAGTGCTCATGCCCTTCCTGGATAACAAGCTGCCTTTGTTCTACTCTGCTTGAGCTCAGTGAGACAGTGGTCCATAGGAACAACTTCTAAGTGCTGCTGCACAACATGCAGTTGGAAGGAGTGGACTGTGATAGTTATACTCTGGTTGTATTTATGCACAGGAGGGATTTTGGCAATATTAATGAGGCCAAGCAGATTAGCCTGGAAGATGCTCTAAGAAACAAAGAGATCCATGCAGCCTTCATCAGCACAGAGAACAGAAGCCATGAAGAAACCATCAGGTATTTTGAGATTTTTTTCTTTCTTTTTTTCACCTTTTCCCCTGTAATTTAGAAACATAGAGGAGCTGTGTAAAGCTCTTGCAGGAGAGGATGTGAACACTGGAGAGGATGCTGCCAGACTAGAAGCCTGAAGTGAATGATAGCCAGTCCCTAGTGCACCCAATAAAACTTGGAAGAGATTAGGACTTAAGATGCATTCATTTCCCAAACAATTCCAACTGCGTACCTCTAGGCCTGTGTTTGATGGACGGACAGCTTAAAATAGGATTCAAAGCCTTTCCTCACAGATTATATAGAGGAAGGGCACTCTGGTGCCCCACTCCAGCCACTCAAGTGTCTGGAAGTTAGAAATTGCAGTGCTCAGCACTGCGACATTTTAGTGACTTGCTGTAGGTGAGTGAGGGAATTCTGTGGAAAAAGAACTAAAACCCAGCTCTCCTGGTGTTTAAATGTATGATGTAACCACCACACCATCCTTGCTAAGAAACTTGTCATTTATTTCTGCTACTCCGCACTGTGCATTTCTCCATATAGGGCTGACTGTGAGAATGAGAAGCAGCTTGCACGTTGGAGAGAGATGATTACAGTGATATACTTCTAAAAGACTGATCTTGTATCCCTTTCAGAATGTTTTTAGAAGCTGGGAAACATGTCCTTGTTGAGTACCCCATGGCTTTGTCTGCTAAGGCGGCCCATGAGCTCTGGGAGATGGCTGAGCAGAAAGGTAACACATTTGTTCCCAAGGGTGTAAACTGTTATTACCTGTTGGGTAGCAGCAAAAGGCATCAGACAAAGGCAGGGCTCCCATCTACTATTAATCATGACATACAAGGGAGTATGCCTCTCTTGGAGAGGTGTCAGTCAAGGATTTAAGACATGTGTCAATAGGGAAATAAAAACACAAATGTCAGTGCTAAGAGTAAGGTAGGAATGTTTGCCCTCACAGAAGAACTGCTTTCTGCTTGTGACACTAAGAATTCAGTTAGAGAAGGAAACTTCTGTCACAGTGATAGTAAAGCACTTAATGAGTGTAGCTACTGGACTTCTGCACTTTGCTGTCCTCTCTCTCCCTGAAAATAAAACTAGAAACAGCTCCCCTAGCTTCTAGCATTTGTGATGTGCTGGTCACACACAGCTGCTCGTGCTATTGCAGGTCAGCAAGGCATCCCTGTCTGAAAGACAGCTTGTCTTGAAGCAAAATCTCTTTATTTCTGGAAAGCGTGTGGTCCCAACCTTGCGATGCCAAGGGTCAGAAGCTGGCAGTTCAGTTGAGGCCAGTGGGGATGTATGGGGCTACAAGGAAGAGAACAGTGCTGGGCAGGAGCAGAGTGCAAACCGTTTGGACAAGCTGCTCTATTTATACCACTACTTTTAAAAAACTTCCTCTGTGACTTTTGTCCTAAAACACTGGAGGCATAGGATTTCTGCTTTTTTGTTTCTCTGTACCAGCACCACTTACTGCGTTGTTGCTTGCCAAATGGCTTCCAGTTGAGCAGAATTTATGCCCCTTCTCTTGAAGCAGCAACAGTTACTGTCAGCAGCCTAAACTGACTCTCCTGGAAACCTTCCAGAAAAACACATATTGAATGAGGGCCACATTCAATGTGTATTGGATAGCCTCTATTCCAGAGTAGCCCAGTTAATTGCAGTGGCGGGAGGTACTCTTTAACATATTGTTACAGTCTCAGTCTGAGTCTTAGGCTATTTTTTCTCTTCCTTTTTCTTTTCCTACTACCCTGGAAGGAAAAATGCAGAACAAGGAAATGAAAAGGGAAAGAGGCCAACAATTAATCCATCTTTTACTTTGAAGACTCATGTTTCAACCGTAGTTGGGTATTGGGTTTCATTACAGACTTTCTATTAAACATAGTGGCTACTGTCCCTGTAGTCTCTATATTTGTCTCCTGAAAATCCTTAACCCAGATTGATGCCTCAGCACAGGGCCCGTGTTTGATTTTCATTTTGCCAGCCATGCGTGAGAACATTTCTAAGTGAGTTCCCACTGGTGGCTGGTGAAGCCTTTACTGCTTAGATGTGCCTCTGATTCACACAGAAAGCTCTTATTTAATCTGGCCTGATTTTTGGTGTGTGGTTTTCTTGTTTGGTTTGTTGTTTTGTTTTTTTGTTGTAATGGCAGATAAAGTACTCCATGTGGAGCATATTGAACTTCTGACTGAAGAGTACAAGCAGCTGAAAAAAGAAGTGGCTGGGAAAGAACTGGTGAAGGGAACATTGCATTTCACAGGTCAGTGGCTGTGAGGAAATCGAAATCCATCTGGATTTGTCTGCCTGCTCCACAGGGACACCAGCCCTTCCAGGCTTCATTCAGTCCTTTTAGATGAGAGTCTGTCTATAAACTCAGTAGAGACACAGGTATCAGTTCTAGCTATTTCCAAGAAATTACAGAACTATCTGGAAAGCACCTTTGCCTTAAAAGTTGTCTTCTGCAGACCGTTGCTTTGCTTATCTTTCTGCTATCTGGTGAAGAACACAAGCCTGTGCCTTACTGAATGGAGGAGAAAGCACTTCTTCATGTCTTCTTTACTTTGGGGGTAGTGACCAATTTCTCATTCATACTGGTCTCAGAGAGGAGGATGAGCTCTGAGGAAATGTCCCAATTTCTACTGGGGACCTTTAGTCTTCTGTACTGGTGTTTGGTCCCAGAAGAACTGGGAGAGATTTTCAAGCCATTGTCAACGTTGTCAACGAACAAGGGTTCGTTGTGTATGAACTTTGTGCAGCCTTCTATGTCATAGCTCACTAACTGATCCATTTCAAGGTTGACCATGTTTGTTGACTTTCCTACTCAGCCCATCCACTCGTGGCCTTTCTACACTCTGGTCTCTAAGCCCACAACACTGCAGTTTCTTCAGCCTTTCCTATGCCGAGGGCATTATTCTCTTTCTCATTTCTCAAGACTTTCTGTTGCTGTTGCTCCAGGTAGTGTCCTCGATGAAAACAAAACAGGATTCCCAGCTTTCAGTGGAATTGCCCGACTGACTTGGCTGATTGACCTCTTTGGAGACCTCACTGTTACCTCTGCCACCAGAGTAAAGCAGAAAGATAAGAATTATTCCAGAATGACTGTTCACTTTCAGACGTCAAATGAGAAGTGAGTAATGACCGTGGCAGCAGGTGAGCCAGGCTCTTCAGGTGTCATCTGCAGGAATTCTGCATCCTCTTTTCCTCTTGTGGAAACAGAATGGGTGGATACTGGCATGAAAGTGTAGAGGAGAAACAGACCTGAAAGTGCTTTCTGTAGTAATCACAGTAAAAAGAGACACCATCAAACAATGTCTGCTGAAGAGCACAAGGAGGTTTAAAAGCTCTGTTCTGATGTCTGAATGTAGGAATGGGCCCATAATACATTTTACCATGCCCAACACCCTTCTCTTGCACTGTGAAAAATTGTTCATTGGCAGGATATTTTTTGTTTAGCATCAGACATTCTAGCTGTACATTGAAAGCTAACCTTTCTTTAAAGGTTGAAAATACAGGACTGTTTGAAAAGGTAACTCACTAGTTATAATATTTAGCTTGTAGAACTATAATGTTTGTACTGGTATGTAGTACTAGCTGGAGGTTAAGAGAAAATTACACGTTTCAAGCAGAAGTATAATAAACTACTGAAAGGCCAACATGTCAAGTTTGCTCTTGACTAATGTTTAATCTGCAGTCTTGAAGTTTCCTTGATTTTTTTTTTTTTTTCCTGAGTAGGACAACAGTATGTTTCCCGTTTCTTGTCTTTTTGCTTTTGTTGCATGAGCATTTCAGACTGAGTGAGAATCCAGCAGCCAGGACTGCTTGCCATTTTTTCCAATCATTGCATGATGACTTCCGTGCAGAAAACTGTTCAGATTATGCATTTTATAATAATGAGTTTGATCTCCCTTTTATTATATGCTAACAATAACCTTGCTATCAAATAGTATATTTTAATGGCCTTGCTATAAAATAGTATATTTCCAAATAATATGACCATGAAGTAAGTCTTCAGTGTTTCATCCTGTAGATTGAGTACTCAACTTGGTCCAAAGTCTGGTGGTGTATTTTGCTGGAAACTCTCTGGTTTGGCCATTCTGGACCATCCGCATGGAGGTCGTGTTCTTTCAGATATGTTGAAGTTACTTACGATGACAGTTTACTGTGTGCTATAGATGCAACTTGAGAACTGTCTGACATGAAAATGTACAGAGAAGTTACACACACTCTGTATGTTTCCTAGGAGGTAAGAATGGTGATGGAACAATTTGTTCCTTTCTCTTCACTCCTATTTTCCTGTTTTTCTATGTAGCACACTCTGCCTTTGAGACAGATGACCCACTCATAGGCATATGACAAGAGACAGATGAGAAGACCAGGGAGAGCAGGGGAAAATAAGACCCCATGGGAAATTATTCTGGCCTATCTTTGTTTGTAATAAATTAGCCTTTTTTGTTGCACTTACACTGCTAGAACACTAAAAAAAACCCCCAAACCAACAACAGCAGAAAACCGCCACCAAACATGAATGCTTAATACTTTAATAATTTTAGGTAAGTGTTTAGTTTAAAAAGTAATAACCTGAAGGACTAGCTGTTTGGGGAATGAATAATCAGAGCTCATTTGAACTGTTAGTTTCACTGCAAGTTTAGTTAAACCTTTTATCAGCCAGTCCTACAAAGCCCACTGCAGTTTATTGTGAGATTGCCATCTTGTTTGCCTTCCTCTCTCTTTAAATAAAACATCATTTCTAATTCCTTTTAAAATGCAGTTGTGAGAGGACAGAACTCTGTATACAAGCTGTTTACCCTCTTTGCAATTTGCCAGTAACACGAGTAGCTGTAAAGATCTATATAGAGTGAGATTTTGAACTAATTCCAGCAGGTGGAACTAGTGGGTGGCTTAAACATTTCCCTGGCTGTCCTGTCTCCTAGATAGTTCTTGGCTACTATGTATGATATTTTCTAGATACAAACCCCTTTCTGGGTTACTGTTTTTTTTCCTGCTTTATGCTGCTAACTGATACCTGCTTTTCTTAGTCCACTACTGATTATTTGTATGGGTCCGTTAGTGTTTTGTCACCATGAGCATTTTAATGACCTCGGGGACAGTCAGCTTTATGCCTCTGGGATAATTTACGCCGACTGGAAAGTTACATAGCGTTCCTGTATTCTGTTCAGTGGCAGAGCCATATTTCCTGCTGACCTTCCCTCATTGACGTCAGTGGAGTTACAGCAGTAGAGAATTTGGCCCACTCTCCATCAAGTGAAGTTATGGCCTGGCAGTGATGGTGATGGCGTTACAGCTCTAATTTGCCCAACCTTTATTTTGCTGAAAGATGGGAAAGGTCTGCACCTTTCCTGAGAGCAATCCCATCCTTTTTAGAAAGACGTGATTACGCTAACCTTGAGAAATCAGCTTAATTCCGCCTATTTTCTGCCTTGAAAAATAGAGCAGGTGCAGGATGCAGCAGCCTGTGTCTTGTTCGTTAAGCAGGGATTTGTGCAAAGGCTATAGACTGTCTCCACTGCAGAGCCTGCACTGGCTGCTCATCCGTCCCTGGCTGGATTTTGGAGGTGTGTGTTAATGCCTGATGCCCAGCTATCTGAGAGATGACCTTGGCCTCTGTTGTGTTTCCAAGACAGTTGAGCTGACAGCCTCTCTGTGATAAAACACTGAGCAATCCAGCAAAAGCCAAACCTCTACTGGCAGCACGGCTGGTTTGGGACTGCAGTACCCGTCCCAGGATTACAGAGCTTGAATTCAGTAAATGTCAGAAATTAATTTTAGAGAGATAATGATTTGGGCAATGTCTCTTTTGATGTAAACTAGGGGTAGGGTCTAATTGTCCAATTCCCATCCAAGGTAAGGTAGCCCTTTTTTGATTGCATGGTAAATAAAAATACTGGCATTTTCAAAGAGTGAAAAGGAAGGGGTTTATAAGAAATTGAAGGCATTTTCTGAACACATTCTGGCAATAAATGTTTGAAATATTGTGTGTATCGAGATCTAAGCTTACAAAGTCTAATAAAAAAGCTTCAAATTGAACATCCATAAAAAATCATGTAATACATGCTTTCTGCAGAATTTGCTGCATAAAATATTAAGCTGAGTGAACCCAGCATGAAGCCAGCTTAATTCTTCTGCTGATACAAAGAGTGTTCACTTCATTTTTGTTTATTTAACTAGGACAGTCCAACTAGGGCCATACATTATTTGAAGAAATAGGGAATCAGAAAAACAGAGTCTCTTCCAATCGCTGAATAAAATGTAGCTAGGAGAGCTCTTCCAGTCTAAAATCTAGAAAGATGAAATGATCGGGAAAAGTCAGGGTGATTTCTTCGCTGCAGATAGTGCTTTCTTTGTAAAAAGTCAGTATAGAAGTGGTTTGTTAGAGTTTGGTTAAACCTGCTTTTTCTTCTTTAACTGTCCAACATATTTAATGTGGCTTTATTCATCTACTAAAACTGCTGCATTTGTTGCTTCTAAGTGACACTAGTGATGCTGCTAAATAAAAAACTACATCCATAGCCAGATAATTTGATATAAATCTTTAATGCAAATGAGTAAATGATCTGTTAAAAAAATAGTAGTTACAATTATCTGACATAAAATACAAACCTGTTTCTTAAGCTACAAAATTGCTTAAATAATGTGCAGACTTGCAGCATACATATCTTTATAGCAAAAAAGGGATTAGGTTTAGTGTAGAAGTAATTGTTAATTAAAAATTAACATGTTTTGGTTACCAATCAAGTAGAATCAAGCTATCTTTGGGAAAATAACTAAAAATCCAATCACAGAAGAAGATAAATCTATTTAGTAAACCCAACATTTTCCTGCTCACTAATCTAAATCAGTCATTTTAATCACTTTGATTAAATTCTGCTCGCTCTGCATGACTGTACTTCTGATTCAGCAGCTTCCCTGAGCTAGAGAAGAAGATGACAAACGCTTGAGCCTGGTTATTGGTGTGCTTCTACCCGAGATCTCCTCGAGGAGGTGACCCTGTTTTGGATCGTATGGTGGACTTCCCTAGATGCATAGGTCTTTGCCTATGCCTGCCCAGTGATTTCTTCACAACTGTTTACCTGAGATAAAGCAGCTTTGAATAACAGTGGCCTGAAGAATGTCAAATCAGCTTTGCTGAGTCAGAACAAAACCCAACTTGCTCAGCAGCCTGCCTCTAACCCAGGTCAACTGCCAGCACCTCGGGGAATGAGGATGAGAACATAGAAAGCACCAAGTAATATGGCCCTTAAGCACCCTTCTAGCCTGCTACAACACGTAGCCTTGAGACTTCCCAAAACACATGGTGTCTTTGCATTTATTAGTTCTCTGAGGATTTTTCTGGTGCATTTTTGCAGGCTGGGATTTGGGTCTATTTTTTTTTTTTTCCCCAGTTGTTTTATTCTGTTCAGTCAGGTTCATCTGGTCATGCTTAATTTGGCGGGGGGGGGTGTGTAGTAGTAGAGGTGAGCAAAGAGTAATTGATACAATTATATGAATATAGAAACTGGATCCTAAAGCATAAAAAATGAGAGGTGCAGAATCATTAAGCTGAGTGCTCTGCAGAATGTGTCCAGGGTAGACTGACAAGGACTTTCTTTCCACATCTAATGATATTGAAGATTTAATGGGCAGTACTTGGAGACAGAATTTATTCTTCCACGCTATTGATGCCCTCATAATTTGTGAGTGGCAGACTAAAGTGGGCCATAAAGGACTGTGGAAGGGCCATCAATAACCAAGTAAGAAAAATAATGTGCATCCTCTAAACACAGGCAGTAGCGTGTGGTGATGAATGAGCTGCAGGAAGGTAATGGCATGGTTTAGGCAGCTGACAAAAGAGCAGGAAGAGAGGATTGTGGCTGTGGCTGGTGTTGAGGACCATTCCTCAAAACCTCTGCAAGCATTTGCAGTGTTGGGCCAGGGAATCGTTTAAGACCCCTGGAACGATGCAGGACATTCCATGGGTCCTCTTTGCTCAGCCAAACTGGGAATCTGGGGAAGAAAGTGTGAGGATCTGTGAGCTATGCCACTCAATAGCCAACACCACCAATGCTTGGCCTGGAGACTGTGGCTATCACATTGGCATAAGACAGGACTTTGCTCTGATTAAGAAAGACCTGCCTGAGAGTGTATGTAGCTGAAACAGGCAAAATTGGCATCTTCTGATGTAATCTCTAGGATCAACTCAGTGCTCCTGGTGAAGAGAAAGAAACATATTTGAAAAGTTCAGAGACTACGGACACTATTATTTTCATGAGTGAACATGCCAGCTCATCCTAAAGGGATGGTGTTCAACTTGCATAGTGGCACCTGGGTCATCGTTATGTACCTGACGTAAATTTATTCTTCCTGGAGGAATGATTAGACATTGCGGACCTTGTGAGTTTAGCTGTGATTGAATCATGCGCAAAATATTTGTATGTTTAACTGAACTTTTTGTCAAAGACCACAAACAGACAGATTAGGCTTTCCTCTTCCGTGTGAGATGGCTAGACGTTGCTGGCTTCACTTTGTGCACAGGGAAAACAAAGTTGGAGAGAGCTTAAATGGTGGGCTGAAAGTCACGGCATGAAGCAGCGGCAAAGTTAAGGTGTTACCTGATGTTCAGCTCTGTAACCACAAGTCATGTTGGTCACCTAAATGTGCAATGACTGAAATGTAAAAATGGTGTATTTATTAGGGCATTTTCTGTAAATGCTGAGAAAAAAAAGCATAAACTAGAACTGTTGATTCCGTTTCTTCATAAATACTATTATTTTTTCTCTTCCTCTCCACACTAGACCTCTAACTTGGATTGAAGAAAGGGGACCAGGAATGAGACGTGAAAAGAAAATCAACTTCTGTTTCACAAGTGGTTGCCTGGAGAACTTCCCTCAAGCCCCAAGGTCTGCAGTGGGCCTTTTCATGCAGGATCAGAACCTCTTTGCCAAAAAACTGCTGGGCCAGGTATCCAAGGAGGAGCTGGCCGCTGAGAAATGGCGAATTTTGCGGTGTCTTGACCTTGCCGAGCTGATCCAGCAGCACTGTGAACAGCCAGAGAAAATCTGTTCCTGAGACTGCTTCCAGGGAAGGAGGAACATGGCAGACAGGAAAGCTGCAGGGCTAGAGCTCACTGTTGCCATCAAGCAGTTGCTTTTTCTGTTTCATTACTTTCTTTTTGACTAGTTGTGATTCCTAGGCTCTCCGGGTGGGATGGAGAGTCTGGGGTATACCCTGTGCCTTCTGATTTGTGCCAGAACAAAGCAACATTACTCTGCTCCGATGCATTGCCGTCCTTTCAGGCAGATAGGAACCCAGCAGCAACAAGCTTTCCTATGGTTCAGTTGGAAATGTCCCTGAGAGCAGATCCTGGAGGACTGCAAATACTAGATATGATTTTCCCTCCCGAGTTTTTTTTCCTCTCTAGATACATCTGAAAATGAGATGTGTCTCATTTAGTAATATTGGTGTAATAATATCTAGAAAGAAGTATTGGCTAGAATGAAGTTCTAGGTGAGTTTTCCACCTCTTTACTTGATCTGCAGAACTTGACCTTTTCCTGATGCCCCAAAATGTTCCGTGTGCTCACTCTAATTAGTTGTTGTGCCTGTTTAGGGTTTTTGGGTTTTTATTTTATTTTATTTTTCACATTGGAAACAATCTACCTTCAAATAGAATCTATACTGGTATCAAACCAGAAGTAATGTCTTGATAGATGCCATGTCGAGTTCGCTCGATTTCTCTGTGCCAACATAGAAATCTTTTTCCAGCAGAGATTAGAACAGTACTTTAAACTAACGCTTCACCTGACTGCTTTCTACTGAATCTAAATTTTTTTTTTTTTTTTTTTTTTTTTTTTTATTCAGAATGTGAATGGATCACTGCTAAAGATAATATGCATCATGCCTTTAAGAAAAAATACTAATGCTTTCCTGGAACCAGTGAAATTTATTAGAAATAGTGATAAAATTACAATAGAACTGTAGAAAGTGGAGAAATTTGCAAAATACAGCCATGCATTTATGGTGTATGACACCTGTGGGGATGGGTCTTTAGCATTGTACAGTAGTCCCAGGGTCATGTGTGAAGACGTTGTCACTTCCCTAAAGCAGCATTTTTGTTTTAGAAGAAGTCTAAACAGTGCACAAAGCTGCTTACAATTCTTCTGCCTTTTATTTTCTGATTACAGAATCTGTCAGTGCTATATTAATACAGCAGCAAACTTCAGTCTGTGCAGCTGTTCTTTCAAACACAGAACCATAATTTCTTTTCCATATTATCACTCGGGCAATTTTTTAATAAGGGAGCATATATGTTGTGAATGTATACATAATTACAGCCAGTGAATTTTGATGTTAAAAAGACGTCCTTTGGGTAAATCATGTTCATTCATAATTTGGATACAGTTCTGTTAGTTGGAAATCAGGGAAGGAAAGACTCTGTAATTTTTTCCCAAATCAGACAGGTTTTACGAGCAACTCTGGAGCTTGATATGTGAATGAATTCTGCATGTGAAATTTGTTTAAATCTATGTTAAAATCAGTGAAAACCCTCCTGTTGACTTCAGTGGACTGAAATCCATGTGGGTTGGTAGCAGATTTGTGCAGGCAGATCCTGCACTTGTCCACCCAAATGGACACTGTACCGAGCATTCTCAGGGACTTCTTTACCAACGTGATGGACATTGCCTGGGCAGATCTTATGCTGTGTGAGGGGGAAAGAGTGGGTTTGTGGCAAAACGCAAAAAGTCCATCTGGGATCGGAATTAAATTGGAATCTGCTGTGTATACCTATCTGCTATGTATGACAGCTTGTGAGAGGTTCTGTTTCTTGCAAACTCCTCAGCTGTGAATACGGGGTGAATACCACTTGTTTACATGCTAATTCACAAGGGGTACCTGGGGAAGGAGGGCAAAGGGGAGGGACATTCACGATCCCCATCTATAGGCGTCAAAATTAGCCACCACATCTCCCTGGGCACACTCTGCAGTTGCTGGTGAGAGCAGTATTCCTCTAACAAATGGGGAATAAATTCATGGGAGCACTGTAGAGCAGCAATATAACACTGTGCAGTGAATCACTCTCTGGAGAAGCTTGTTTCTATAGAGAGCACCTGGGGAAATTAGCTGGTTAATTTGAACTAGGGAAGGCAGATGCATAGAGCTGGGTATTCTGTGCTCTCCTCCATCCCCCTCCCATTCCTCCCAGCTAACCTGCTTGCCTACTGCTGTCTGCCCTGCTCCTGGGAGCCTGCAGCATTCAAATGGCTTTTTCTTCAGCCCTGTGAATTTGCTGAGGTACCGCGTTGGTTTGTGTACGAGAGCTACTGGATGTCAAGCTTCAAACGTACCTATTGTTTAACCAGATGTCAAATTCACCAATAAAATATTGGAGCTCTTACTCATTCCTTTTAGTTTCTGTTGTCCTTCATCAGCAGTTCCCACTGCCTGTGCTGAAAGTGGCTCTGTCCCAACTGGTTCTTTTCTCCCCTTTCACTCCTCTGTGAAATCCTGCCAGCGACTACAGGCTGTGATCCTATCCTAAAGCCCTCAGCTGTCTTCTTCTCCTGTTTCAAAGTTTTGAATACAAGTGTGGTGGGGTTTGTGACCTTATTTCAACTCGTGAGCCCTCCCACAAAATTCCTGCCCTTCCGGTCCTGGCAAGTCTAAATCTCGTCTGTACGCTTCCAGTTTCCCATTCAACAACTGCTGTATTTGAGCAACCTTTTTGAATCTAAGTAGAATCTGAAACGGGTATCGAAATGGTTTTTCTTGTGGTTTTAATAAACAGCTTTATCATAGCAGAAATACTACCAGAAGAGTTTTTCAAATATTGTTTGGCATAGCCTGAACCCAGCCAGTCTTAGAGATGAAGAGTTATGAAAAGGCAAGTATAAGGTGTGACAAGGGCAGGTTAGTATACCACATTCATTGGAGGTAGCTGCTTTTCTACTCTTTCTGCTGGAAATCACCCTGCCCTGTGGGGTGCTGTAGGAAGTCCACTGCAGTTCGCTTCAGTAACTCTGCCTGATGTTGTGGAGTTGTTATTTGAAGTGCTATAACGCAAAATGCTCCTACGTGACAGAGGGATGCTCAGTTTGCTGATGCAGTTTGAAGCTTGTCTTTGGCAGATGAAAGACAAGGAGTCACTAACTGCAACACTCTAGCTGAAACCTAGAAGAGGTGGTTTGATCCAAAGGCCTTTTCAGAGGACTAGAGATCAGGGGAATGGAAAATCTCCAAAGAGAAAAAAAACTAGCTTTTGGTATGAGGATTTGCAGAGCTGTGTGGGAAGCTCTGGCTGAGGGGGAAAGAAGGTGGATGTGATTCTGGCATCAAGTGATTACCTGAGAGCCTGTTTTGTGGGGGCTGGAAACAGGGTCTAATTTAACTGTGTGATTACTGAGGACTATCAAGGAACAGTATGGGAACACGGGAGGTGGGATGAGGGGAAAGGTGAAGGAGACTGGCGGACACCACAGGAGCTGCTTGAGGTGGCATTATTTATGAGGAGGATGACACTGGAGCCAACAGAGCAGATCAAGCAGACAAGGAAGTGGAAAGGCAAGGGGCGGCAGCTGTGTAGACAGGGTCTGTTTTCAAAATGGTCCTAATCTGTCAAAACCCGCTGTTTTAAAATGAGTAGCAAGTATGGCATCTGGGTAAAAGTGCAGGGCTGAGTTAGAGAAAGCGCCTGGGGGACAGCAGTGTGTAGAAGGGTCAAGGTTGTAAAGGCTGAACTGTACACATATTTTCAGCTGTCACTCAAGGTGTTCGATTCCTTCAGGTTGGTGGTACAATCTGGGGCCTTGAGCACCCTCACAGTTTGCTGGTGAGTGGCTCACCAAAGGTGATCCTGGCTGGGTGTCTGGCTCCGGAATGGTGTCTCCATGAGACTCGCAGAACCGTGTGCTGATGTGCGTCATGCAGTAGCGTTTACTGCTCCCCAAGGTATGTGGTATGCTGTGTGCAACAGTAATAAAACATAACACCAGGAAGACAAGGATCTCCAGTAAAATAACTCCACAGTTTCGATAAAGATAGCAAGATACTTCATTAGCCTTAAGTGCTGCAAGCTGTTGTCTGTAGAGGCTGAATTAAACGAGGTTACAGGAGGCTGTTGAGAGACCTGTTAGAATTTTTGTTTAAAGAAAGGATGTAGCACAGGTATTACCAGTGCAAAATTCAACCCAAACCCAGAGGAACCAAGCCTTGCAATGGGAAGACAGGCGATGTTTGTGTAGCATAATATGGTGCTGGTCTAAAAAAAAAAAAATCACTTAGTCCAGGTTACTACTTCAAAAACCTTCTCTAAAACTTAATGCTCAGGGCATCCTAAATCACATTTAGTGTGAAGTGACTTTCTGATTTTGCTGCTGCTGTTTTAGTCACAACATTTTTATCCACCACACCCAGTGTATCCTGCCATCCTGCCTGAGCTCCAGTGAGTCATCCCTTTTCCCTGATAAAGGTTAACTTATGAAGAACCCAGTAACATGTCTCTAAAACAGCTAGATTGCTTCAATGTGGTGAATAAATAATTCACTGAAGTAGGGCTTCCTGATGTTTTGTGCATGGGTGTTATTCAAGTAACAGACAAGTAAAAATAATTTTAAAATGCTAGGTTAATTATTAGCAGACAGTCAAGAAAGAAGCTTAACAGAGGAATAATAATAATGATGATGATGATGATGTCAGGAATGATGCTCCTTTGTGAATAATCTGTCACTTGGGATTTCTAAAACAGTCCAGAAACAAACAGATAGGACGGGGGTAGCTCTGTATTAGTAGGAAGCAGCGGGTGAACTATTAGCTCTTAATTTTCTCTTATGTAATTCACAGTCTGTAATTCAAATAATCTCTTCCCATGATTTGGGAAGCAGCACACTGGCAGCATTTGGGTTTTGTATTTGATGTATTTGGCACAGGAATTTATAGCTGGTGTCCTAGGCTGGGTAGGCAGCAGTGTCTTTGTTCTGCATGGTTCTTAAGGAGCTGTTTTATATCTGTGTGTGTCTCTCACCTACACTGACAACTCCTCCGCCTTTTCAAAAATATACAATTCCCTTGTAAGTTGACATCTCTCCTTTAGTATGATCCTTATTATTAGCAGTACTTGTAGATAACGTGGCTTTGCAAAGTCTTGGTAAGATTTTAAATGCATCAGGACACCTTTTCTCAGTTTTGTTTGAAGTCAGATTTCATTTTATGAATTCCACTGCCAGTGGATTTGTAATTGAGTTCAACAGTTTTAAGACTTTTCTTTCTAGTATTGATGCAAAATACACATTTATGATAGAAAAAGCCTGGATGCTGACATTTTTTTATCATTGACTGTACCTGCATTTTTTGCTTATGGGGACTGTTCAGATTCCTAGTCTCATTCACATAGACAGTGTTCATGTTTAGAATTTTTCTTTCACCGTGATGAAATCTATTTGTGTGCAGATTTTGAATGTTACGGAAATTTATTTAAAACCTGTTCAGACGAGGAGTTACAAATGCCTTATCACCATCTTTATCTTATTATGCCTTGTGATAAAAGCTAACCAGACCCTAACCATCTATGTCACTGTTTCTACCCTGTATGCCCTGATCTCATCTGCTAGTCTAGCTGCAGTGAACTCAGGCAGAAAGGGGTTGTATATAGATTTTCATGTACATCTTGCCTCTTGCTGGGCATGCTTTTTGCTTTGCACAGTGCAATCCACCTCTGCTGCAAACCTGCTGGGTTCTAACATTTGCTTCTCTTGTAATACTGTGTCCTGCTGTTGTACCTTCACCTCTGTGTGCTCATGAGACTGTTGCTCATATCTGCTTTATTACAGATACCTGTTTTATT